GACATCAGAATCCTCTGGAAGAAGAGTGAAACTTGACTTTATGCTTAGCGCTGACTGAGTGACCCACCTCTGGATGTTCAAAAACAGGGGGGTCTTGTACACATGGCCTTCCCTTCCGTCCATCACCCCCAACTCTATGGTCTCCTTCACCTTCTGTTCTATCTAAAGAAAGGAGATGAGGACTATCTTCCTGGTTGACTTCCTAGCCCTTTGCTCCTCCCAGAGCTCTTTGGCTTATCCTAGTCCAGTTGTCAAAACTGAGTCCTCCTATTCCTTTCAGTTTTTGCTCCCACCTTCTACAGAAATTCCCCTACTGCAAAATTCCTGTCTCCTGACTCTGTTCAACATTTCTTGCCCACCAGCACATCCGAGGTTCATCCGCACACCGCATACTGAGCGCCTTTGCTTCTCAGACTCTCCATGGGATGCAAACTTGGACCTGAGGGAAGGCACCAGCTCTTTCTGCCCAGGCGGAGACCATTCCCTTCTTTGCCAGGACATCGCCCCAAATATGTTTCCTTGCGTCTTCTTTTTCCTTTTCCCTGCTGAAAATAGCCACTTAACGGACTGAAATGGGCTTCATGTGCTTTAAGGGGTTTATTAGTTTTAAAAACTATGTTCTCTGTTTGGAGGGAGGGGAAACAGCCGCCTTCTTTTCACATTACGTCAATCCACAGGCGTCTGTAATTTACATTTTTTTAACTCAAATGTTCAGAATAATGGAAAGGCTGCTTGAAAAAAGCAGATGAAATAAAAGCTGGGGGAAATGTGTATTATACAAAAACCAGACCTGTTAGCCTGAGGCGAGACACCCGGATGACCTGGGGAGCTGATTAATGAGGCAAGCCAAAGGAAGCCCAGGTGAGGGCGGATGCCATGGCTTCTTCACAGTCACTGACGCCCTGGTGCTGCCATTTCATTTCCCATGCACGACTTCACGGATGGTTTTCATTGGGAAATTTCTGTCCTGGGAGAAAAGAATCCTGAGCCCTAGATGTTGGGCAGGTGGGGCAGCATGGAGGAAAAGCGTTTGGAGGAAGGGGCCCTCTACAGTCTGTCTCCCATTCTCTTAGTTCACCAAGGCAAAGTCTTTTCTGAGCCAGTCTTGCCCTATTGGGTCTGTTGTTTGTTCCCTTTTCCCTCATTCTCTGAGAAAAAGATGATGACACTCGAGAAAGACATTATTTTCAGACCATATCCTAATATAATCACTTCATTAAATAAATCATTTTATAAACATAAAACCCCCAACTCCTTGTTACAAATCAAATATCTGTTTATAAAATAATTTAATTTTTTGGTACATATAGTTTTTTCTGGGTAATACATGTCTGAGTGCCATGACATTGAACATTCTTTCGATAAATATTTTGAGAGTTTACCATCTACCAAGGGGATTAGGCTATGAGAAACCAGGAGCCCGAAGCAGACAAGGGGCTTGTTGTCGATGCTGTCAGGGCCCACAGGTTGGACAAGCCCTCAGTGGCGGGTGATGAGATCCCTGAGAGCTGAAGTCAGGTATTACAGTAACACTGTGGAAGGAGAGGGACAAGGATGAGGGCCTAGAAAGCTGCCCAGCAGAAGAGACTTTAGCTACCTCAGAAGTAGTAGGAGGTAGTCAGGGAAAGAGTCTTCAGAGGGGACTCAAGGCAGAGGGGAGACTGTACTCCTGGGCCCAGAGGCAGAGGGCACTGAGAATGTAAATTCTGTTCCATGGAGGACCAGCGACTGGACTGAGATGGACCTGGGGGGAATGAATCTGTGTGTGTGTGTGTTATTTACCAATGCAGGCTCTTTCCAAGGTACTTACACTTCATTCTGTGGGCAGTGGAAGTTTTTGAAGAGTTTCGATGGAGAGCTTACATTGCAGAAACACTTCCAAACAGTGACAAAAGTGGCTTTTGAAACTTTAGTCCCACTCTCTTTTTAGATGATGAAATTGAGGCTCAGAGAAGGAAATAACCTCTTTTCCTTTTACTATCATCATGACTGGCTGGTATTTGAGAGTTTATAGACACCAGTACTGTGCTAAATGATTTCCCTGCCTCCACTTCTTCATCTTCACATCACTCTGCAGGGGAGGGATGGGGTTACAAATAACATCCCCGTTTTACAGATGAGGAAAATGAAGCCAGGTAAGAGGAAGTAACTTGTGCAAGGTCACTCAGCTATGGAATATCAAAACCACTGTTTGAAAAAAGGCTTGCTTGGTTTCACAGTCTTAATGCTACACTCTGCTTTTCCAAGATTCCATAATTTATGGCCAGTCTAGACTCTAAACCCAGGCCTCCTGACACCAATCTGCCCCAGCGGGCTAGCTGCTCACAGCATGTATCAGGTCCACCTGCTTTCATCTTTTCTTTTTTTAAAAATTGTCAGCGGGTTACGTAACTGTCTAATTCGGGGAGTTTGACTTCATGTTGTCCTCACCTGCCTCAGTTGGCCCTGCTATTGCTGACTTTGTATCTCTAAACATGCCCTCTTAGCTCCCATTCTTCTTCTATCTCCTTGTATGCATGTCAGGAAGATACAATGCCAGCGGATAAAGTCAGCATCCCAGGGAGAACGAGAACTGAACAAAAGCCGGGGTGGGGAGAAGTTCTGAGCAGTGGCTTACCCATCTTTGTGGGCTTCCTACTTCATTAGTTTAAGTACATTAGTGTGGCAACAGGGCTAACCCCTTCTGGCCCCATCGATGAACTGGACTGTCCTTATGGTCAGCAGCCCTCAGGATGAGGACCTCCCAGGGCTGGTCATTGTCGGGCCAGCTGCCACTGGGACTGCCACCTTCAGGTTCTCTGGGGTTCTTGGCTGCCTGGTCTGAGGAAGTCCCAGACACTTGTCATTGCTTCTCAACTAATGACCTCCTGGCCTGGCCACATCTCAGCTAATTTCTGCAATTAGGGAAGCTTGTTTTCAGAGGCTGAAACAGGAACTTTTCTGAATTAGCTTTTATGGTTCAGAGCCTTTAATTTGAGATTTAAAAAACATCATAGCTGGCCAAAACCAAATAAACTGCAGCTAATGAAATTCACAGAAGTGCTCAGAGAATGCTTCTCACTGCTACTCCTGCATGATTTATTGACAGCTGGTTGTAAAAACAATCTTATTAAAGGTCATAATGTTGGTTAAAAAAAAAACTTTAATTTATAGCATAATTAGGCTTCCTCCAATAGCTCGGCTGCTGGGGCTGTCACTTAGGGCTCCGAGGAAGCACTTGGTGTTTTTCATTATATCACAGCGAAGGAGATCCATGCTCCTCCAGGGCCCACTGACTTTCTCTTTATGGCCCTTTTATTGCTGCTAAAATAGTCAAAACAGGGGGTTGATTAGAGCCCACTGATGCCTACTGATTATGGGAACACCTCTTGAAGGGGGAGGAAGAAAAGGTGGGAGGGAGCGTAGGACTTTAGGGTGTTCCTCTTGACAGAAAGGGATAGACTGTGAAACTTGCCTGGGAAGTGTGACCAGGCTTCCCAGCTCTTCCCCAGACACTTGTGGATTGAGGGCTGACCTCAGGCAGGCGGGGCTGGGGTGATAAAAGGCATGTGGAAGGTGCTAATGCCTTAAGGAAGAAGACAATCCCAGGACAGGATGTGTATGGGAATAAGAACCTTAAAAATGCTAATGGGTCCCTAGGTGGACCACAAGCGTGAAGCCTGATAGTGAGGGAAGGGAGGGGGAATGGTGGAGGGCAAAGAGTAGAAGGTCTGGCTTGAGCTGGCCCTGCAGAATGACCCGGAGACTGAGACTGCCAGGAACTGAGACTGCGGAAAGCTTTGCTACCGTGGTGGGGGCGGGGAAGGCAGACAGGTCCTGTCTCCCTTTCCCATAAACACTAGGCATTGTGTTCTGGAACCTGGGCTTGCTTCTGGGGGTGGAGGTGGGGGTTGGGGAGCAAGTGGGTTGTGCTCCTGGAGTGTGCGGGCATCACCCAATGTCAGCACAGCTTGCGGGATGGGTGATGATGCTCAACTCTGACCAGAGATAGCTCCTTACCCCCAAGCCCTCATTTTATTCCCAAATCTGAGTGTGTGTTAATGATGTGGGGGGTAATAGGGCCATTGACACCTTTGCAAAAGGTGTCAGGGCACAGAAAAAGGATGGCATCTGCTGGGCCTAGCACACAGGAGACTAGCAGTGCAGGAAATAGAATCTGATTTGTCAGCATCAGCTGTGGCCTTGGTTTCTTTTCAGAAGGTGTTGTCCTCTTGGACAAAGAAAGAGAGCAAGAGTTTGTTCTCCTAGATGTTAGTAACTGAACTTAGTGAGTCAAAGGATAAATTCTTGAAATAACTAAGCACTAATAACATCCTGCCCCTTTAAGTGACCGAAGCTCTAGTGAAGGGGTTGTTGTTGGTTTGAATTCACTTCTACAAAATTTGGATACTTTCTAAATTTGCTTTAATTTTTTGAATCAGAAAAAAAAAGCCTCTTTAAAAAGGAAGGTGGCTTTTCCATGCACATGGTGCTTAAGGGGATTGCTTGGAGTGCTGGGATCTGGAGTCTGGGATTCCTGCAGCCCCTCACCCCACTGGCCTGCCTGGGCCTGCCATCCCTGCTGGGGCTAGTATCTTAACCCTTGTTATTTGTCTTTCCCACTTGATTGACAGTCCACTCTGGAGTCACATTTATTTTCCCAGTAGAGCACAACTCTGGGCCTGGGGCTTTCCTGGACTACTAGCCTTCCCTGCCACACATTCAGCCTTGCACCCTGCAGGCTGCAGCCTGGGCATCCCTGACTGGATGTCCAGGGGTGGGAGGAGGAAGAATATTAGGTGAAAATGAAACTTGCCAATGTCTCTTTAAAAATCTACTTTTTCCCTGTGGATTTTCCTGTATTCTCTTTTCTTAGAAACTGGCAACTATTCATTATCTAGAAATTGAAGATAATCCCATTTCCTGAAAACTCTTGGCAGCCCAGGGTCTGGAAGAGAAGGGCTTCTTAAGAACTTTCATTCCAGTCTGCTGTTTGCTGAGGAAATAATTAAAATGCCACCATGTCTCAGGTAGGGGCTTCCAAGATCTAGTCCTTTCCAAATAGATTTCTTATAAAATCTTTCAGCAGGGATGACAGTCTCCGGTCAAATTTTTCAATAAAGGACAAATTTGGTCAAGGCACATTTCAAGCCACCAATGGCACACAGCTGTTGGCCAGGTCATCACGGTGTGGAGTGGTGGCAATTCTCTCCCCAGGAGTCATTCCTGTTGCCTGTCCTTTGACTTAGGATGAGGTTAGAGGTGGAGCTACATTCAGGCTGAGGTGGTGTAGGATTTGTTGAGTTGAAGTACGTTGGTGTCATTTTCGTTATCTTGTTTAGTGTTGATGTCAGGTTGGAAGAGGTCTGGGTTTGAAATGGTGCTGTTGTTAGCAAACAGACTGCGAAGCAAGTGAAGTTTGGCTTTAAGTTGGATCAAGGCCTGGTGCAGGGCTGGGGGAGTGTGTGGCTGCTGCTGGTGCCGTGTTAGTGTTGGCTTATTGTTGGGGACCCTCCAGCACACCACAGTTTTTATCCTTTTTGTATGGCCGAGGCATGCAGTTTGGACAGGATGAGATAAATACATATTATTTTCCTTCTGGTATTGAAGTGCCAAATAGGGACTTCAAGGCACCCTTCTGGGAAGATTGGTGAGACTCCCTATTGGTTTCCGTCTTCAGATTTCTGTGGAGGCAGGAGGTTGGGTAAAAGCCACTGGCCCTGATGTTTGTCTGTTCTCCTGCACTTCTAGCAAGTTGGACAGGACTGTAGTCAGGAACTGAGGGCACCCTCTGGCCAGAAATAAACACCACTGGATGTACCTGGTGTCTCACTGACTGCTTTCTTCTCATTTGAAGCACTCTGTAGAAATACCTGAGAGTGGCAATCAACCACTTCCATTTTCTGCCCCCAGAAGGAGACACGTGGGCAGCATTCCAGACCATTCCTGGGCTATTTTGGTGGAAGTGTACTTGCAGACCCTGATGAAGAACCCACATGGTCCCCAAGCCTGGGGCCTGGTCACCCACAGACATCATTATGGACCTGAATGCTGCCCCTTTTGCTTTTGCTCTGGCCAAGGCCACCGTTTCCCACATTCTAGTCATGTTCACAATACTCTAAAAATCAGCCTCTACAAGCCTTCAAAAAATTTGCTCATGCTCTCCATCAGCCCAGAATCCTGTGCTCGTGCCTCTTTCCTCTATGAGTCCACTCATCTTCCAAGAGCCAACCCTTGTGACATTTATTTGTTGCACTTGTTTGTTTATGGGTTAAATGCAAGGACTCTGTCTTATTCATGCCATCTCCCCCATTTTTAGTCTGGATCTAGAAGAAAGTGGCCATCAAATCAATGTTTGTTAAATCCAAATGAGTAGGAAAGGCCAAGCCATGGATGGATAGTGTTATGAAACAAATCATTTTATGAAGACTGGGGCCATTTTATACAGCAACCTCAACTCCTCCATACTTCAAAAATCTTCATGAATTTTTGATTTGTTCCCTTCATTCTCAAAACTGAAATCATGGAATCTAACAAGTAATGATTCCTAGGTGCTGTTGAAAGCTTCACACACTGCCTCAGTGTCACTGACAAATGGAACAGATACAGAAAGGGACTCATTTTTATTTTCACTAGCAGTACATTTGGTTTTTAGACAAAAAAATTTGGCTCCAATAGTTTTGTTTTTGTTTTTTTTTTTTTAAGATTTATGCATATAGAACTGGAGTACAGGCCAGAGGTGCAGGGGTGATGAGGATTCACCAGGGACAGAGTAGGGAGCGGAACAGGCAGATTGACAAGTGCACTGCTGAGGGGAGCAGCGGGCGGGCCAGGAGAGTGCTACAGGCCATCTCCCTGACCTGGGTGGAACTCGCACTGGAGCAGTTGCAGCCAGTTGCTGTGCTGCGCTTTAACCTGCTGTGCCACCAGGGAGGGCCCTAGTTTTTGTTTTTAATTGTTGAATCTACAACCTTAGTATGTCCAGATTTTTAAATATACTAACTCATTGCATCCATTCAACAACTCTGTGAAATAAGTACAATATTTATTCCCATTTCATAGATGACAAAACTGAGGTCCAGAGATGAAAAGTAAGTTTTCAAGGTTTCACAGTTGGTGTCAGGTGGAACAAGGGTCTCAAGCCAAAATATTTCTTATTTTTATTACTCATCTCTGTTCTTCCCTCATAAAACTACCATCACTTAAGCCCTCAGTTTTTGTGCTTCTTTCCTCATAGGCTCTCTAGCCAATACCACCCCCTTCTTCTTCCCTGGATACTTCAGCCAGGGGTGACCTTGCATAAGCATCCCATCTCTGAACCTCTTCCTCAGGTGGTAGGGTACAACTTTGCACAAGTAGAATTCTTGTCTGTAAAGGTGCATTTGTATGATTCTCAATTAGTCACTTAGTCATATAAATAGTATTTGCATTGCTTGCTTATCTGCTATCCGAGTTCTGTTTCTTTCAGCCTTGCCTCCACACTCCGTTCCCTTCTTCTTGCTCTTGCTCTGGTATCATTCTGTTTCGTCTTACAAGTTCTGACAGGCAGCTTACACGTTCCATGAGTAAGTGTAGAGAAGGCTTGTAGAACAATGTGTGTAATTTCTTACCAAATGTGTAAAAATGGATAACTTATATGGGTGCATATATCTGTGCATGTAATTTATATGGGTATTATATGTGCGTGTCTAATATGTGTGCGGTTGTAACTCTGTACTGGAGTGGCTCCACAGTATACACCTAACTGTATTCTAGCATTCTCAAATGTTGTAGGAAATAAGAAATTCAGCTACAGCGATGGCCACGGGAGGGGCCGCATTCACTACCCCATTTCCTGACCTGTTGGACTTTCTATACCCCGAGCGCGGACACGTTTGCTTTAGAGCTCCCAGGTGAATCGTGTGATCGTCATATATCTCGCTTGAGGAGACTGAGCTGAGTCTGAAGCCAAACAGATTGCTCAAGTTTCTTTCCTGAAAGTCAATAGTCTCCATCTTCTCTTTCTTCCTGCCGTGGTTTAGCTTCAGGCTCTCAGAACCAGCTCCTTGTGCACAATTTCTGCCTCTTGCTTGGGTCCTGCAGTAAGCCAGGAGCCAGAGCCCCCCTCGGAAGCCGTGGGTGGGACCTCAGCAGCCCACGTGCTGGCCACGGCCCCTTCCGCCCTCCCTGAGGGTGATCTATGGCTTGTCAGAGGTGTGGGTTCTCACCACTTGCTGAATAGAAAGCTTCTTTGTTCTTGGGAGTGAAAATAGCCCTAAGATAAATGTTGAGGCTGGAAGAGCCCAAGGAATGTTGGGCTCCAACTGTCCAGAGACTCCTCCTTGGAGCAAAAGGGCTGAAGTTGGACTAAAGGGGAACAGTTTCGCAAGGGAAAGATTTTGGCCATGGGTCCTCTGGGACTGTGAGCTGTGGCCCTGGAAGGTGGTCGTGGCTTATCTCAAATGCAGGGTAGCACATGACACCTGCTTCAGACCAGCTTCTGTGCTCAGTAACCTTCTGTCAGTGCTTGTAAACTTCCTACCCCTCACTACTTATGGGTTGTGACGTGACCAACCTTCCTTTTTACCCCTCCTCTCCAGGAAGCTGCCCTCTGCACCCCTTAAAAAGTCTGCCTTTTCTCTTTTCTCTCCCCTCCCTTCCTACTTGCCACAGAGCCTGCATTTCATTTCTCTGGCTGTTGTTGAGAAAGGGTGGGAACCAGTTCTGCACCTGGCCACTGCAAACCCCATAAAGTTCAGGGTATGATCCTTCCATGGATCATAACCTCCTCCCTCCCTAATCCAGCCCAGGCAGGACAGAGTTGGAGGATGCTGGAGCTGCCAGGAGGGGGGGGGAGTGGTGGCTATGTTTCGGTCTGTTAGTAGTTGCAAAATAAAGCCACAGACAAGGTTTGGGGCTATTTATTTTCACTCTCATTCCTAAGGTTCTGGGGAAGTTATCTATTTTTAACCCAGGAACTTTGGGAGGTGGTCCAGGATCTTCAAAGACCCCCAGAGAGATAGACACCCATGAGAGACAAGGACAAGAATAGCATCTAAGTCCTCCAGGAAAATCAGAGATGCAGACCTCCTACTCACACCCCAAACCTTGCTCAGACAAAAGGAAATTTGGGACCTCAGAATTTGGAGCTGCAGAAAGCTTCATAGCCCACACAATACCCCTCCCTGATAAGCTTGATGCTTCTGCTAGACCTAGGGGAAGAGGAATGGGAGGAAGCAAAAGGAAAGAGAGCAGGTAATGGAAGTAGTAAACAGGACACAAGAGCTAGGCAGGCTGGTAGGGGCACCATCTGCCCAGCCTATTTTATGGGTGAGCAAGAAGAAGCCCAGGACGTGTCTCCAACACAGAATGTGAAGCAGCCCTTCCCTCGGCACCTCTGCTGCTGTTTGTTCTTGAGGCACCAGTGAAACACCTAATGGAGGGGGAGGTTTGAGGAACAGGTTTTAGGACTAACTGGATCTTAAGGACCACAAGGTGACAAGAAACGTCCTCCTAGCAGCCCTCTCCTTCCCTAGTATGGGGGCTGGTGCCTCAGCCCTAGGGGCCTTCCCTGTGCCGTGCCCCTAGGCTGTGGACCCCCAAAGGCAGGGAGTGCTCCTAGACCCTGGGCCAGTCCCTGCCCAGAATTCTTATCAGCGTTGCCTCGCTTTGTCTCTACTGGTCTAGCCGGGATGAGGTTAGGAAGATCTACTTCTGAGTTGGTATAAAAGAATGAAAGAAAAAAGGGATGGGATGAGAATGACCATTTGTTGACTTCTGTGCGCAGACCCTGGTGGAGTGGGGTGAGTGAGCAACTAACCTACTCAAGCTTATTTAAGGCTCACTGAACTCTTTTCATCTTTTACCGAGCCTTTGTGAGTTCGGTGTGGTGCCCAAGGTTGCACAGCTGGAAATGGTGGTTCCAGCTATAAGTGGGGGACGTAGAGTGTTTTGCAGTCCTGGCCAGGCTGCCCTCCTGAGCGCCAGACGGCTTAGAGCACCGAGATGTCAGCGTGCTCTGTGGGTTTGTGATGACCTCTGGGCAGGCTGT